AGGCTCAGCGGGAGAACTGCCTCCGGTCGCTCTTTCCTTTGTTCACGTGTTTGAAAATTTTCGATTTCTGCACGTTTTTGGACTTCTGATATCCAAAACCACCGCCGCCACCGCGCTTCTGCAGCTTGGCTCCTTTACTGCTGTGCACGTCTGAAGAGAAACATTTAATTAAGGAGAACATCTTTTTTTCTTTTTAAAAATGATCCTCTCTATTGGAGAGCTACAACCTTTTACGTGAACGTGCAATTCTGTAACATTCAGATGTTTTCAAGCATAATGAATAAAAACAAGCAGCAAAGGATACTGAGATCAACATATGGAGGAACTTTGAATCCAAATGAGAGCGCCACCATGGGGAGGTTCAGGGTGTTGATGTTGTAGATCTGTTTGAGCGAGTGGGAATCGTAAGCCCTCACGTAGGACTTGTAGGCCTCCTGGGCGGACTTGTGGAGGTAGTAATTCTTTTCGATCAGTTTCTCCAGCTGAGGGAGGACAGAGTTCAAGTCACAAAACTGCGTTTGATATCTGAGGCACTGCTGAGTGTAAACCGCATGTTAATTCTCACCTGAGACTGGATGTCGGAGATTTTACTCCAGGAAAATTCAAACTCACTCAGTGGGACCTAGATGAGATAAAGCAGATAATGCAGACTTTAAAGAAAACTAATCAACACAAAAAAAGGGACAATCAGTGTCTATGAATATCTTTTCATTGCCATGTCCTATTTTTTCATTAAAAACATTAAAACAGGAGGTCCCCAAATCAGAGCCCTGTGGGACACCACAGCACAGTGGGAGGATTTAGATACAAAGCCTTCAACAGTGACTATAAAACATCACATATAGTTTTATACATCTGTATGTGTTTGTACAACCGAAATGACCAGGCAGGTGGTCTGCTCACCTTGGCCTGTTTGAGGAACCGCAGGAAGCCGAGTTCTTCTGGCCGCAGGATGAGGAGGGCGTGGCCTCGGCCATCGATGCCTCTGGCGGTTCGACCCACCCTGTGGATGTACTCCTGTGGGAGAAAAAACAACCTTAAAATTAGTCCTGTTCTGGAGATTTTTGATCCAACTCAATAATTTAACATGACAAATACTGCATATGCAATTAAACCGCCCCCACTGCCCCCCCCAAAAAAAACAAACAACTTATTAACCTTGGGGTCATCTGGAGGGTCGTACTGCACGATCCAGTCCACCTCGGGGATGTCCAGCCCTCGAGCTGCCACGTCTGTGCACAGCAGGATGCCGGAGTCAGCGTTGCAGAACTGGAAGAAGGTGGTGGTACGTTTGGTCTGCTTTTGTTTGCCCTGCGAAATGAAACAAAGCAAAGGAACGCTCAGAACAGCTGCAGGTCAACATCTGCTCACCG